CCCCCTCCGCTCCTTGTCCCTGACTGCCCCTCCTGGGACCCCTGCTCCTAACTGCCCTCCAGAACCCCACCCCCTACCTGTACCCTGACTGCCCAAAACCTTACCCACACCCTCCCCCAGAAAGCCCCACTCCGAACTCCCGACCCCACCCCCGTCTCTTGACTGCCCCATCCAAAACCTCCCTGCCCCTTCTCCGACCCCCTGGCCCCCTTGTTGTTGGCCTTTGCCTAATGTCTCTGTGAACTTGCTCAGGAAGGACCTGAGCCGTTCGTCCCAGCACGCTGGCTGGCAGGGGAGGAGCTCCAGACTGCCTGAGGCGATCTGCAAATGCAGGGAGGGAAGGAGGGAGTGCTCTCAGCTGCAGGGGGCTCTCTCTGGCTGTCGGAGCCCCATGTAAGTGGCACCATCCGGCCGGCTGCCCTGTTAGCCGCGTGCGCACTGCAGTGGGGGGGTGGGGAGGGGGAGGGAGGAAGTCCGGACATTTACAAATTCCCCCCGGACGCTATTTTTAGCTCAAAAATCCGGACATGTCCGGGGGAATCCGGACGAATGGTAACCCTACCGGCTCCCAGCCTTTTTATACAGGCCAGCTGAGGCCTGATTGGGGCGCGGCCCAGCTGCGGCTGCTTCCCCAATCAGCCTTGTAGCTTTTCCTTTGCCCCAGCCCTGCCCCCTGGCTGTTTTAAGCCCTTCAGGGCAGGAGCGGGGGACCACCCCGCTACACTTATCCAAAACCCATTAAAGTCAATGACAGCCTTTCCACGGACTTCCATGGGCTGTGGATCAGGTCCACACACTCCACTCCCAATGTATGGAGTGTTTTGCATTGCAAGTATGTAATTGATTCTCTTCCCCATGCTCCCACCCCAATATGCCCTATTTGTAGTTGCCCGATCTTTCCGTCTCCTAAAGATTGCTAATCCAAAGCAGTGGGAGGAGAAAAAGGTGGGGGCAGCTGCTCTAAAACACATTGTTGTCTTTCTTTCCCAGTGGGTCTTTTCTTTTCTTTTTAGCTGACATAAAAGACCTTATCTGAAAGTGAAACTGAAATGTCTCTATCTGAACTGACTCTGGCCTGAGGGCACACAGGCTTTGGAGATCCCCAGCCACTGGGCAAGAGTTTTTGAGGATTTGCACAACCTAGGAGGCCTCTGCCCCTGTATAAATGTGTGAGTGCACATGGGCACCAGGTTTGTGTAATTTTTGGTGGTGCCCAGAATGGGTCCAAGCAGAGCCATCCCGTGACGGACCGGGGCAACCGTGCTTTGGGGGGCCCCAGGCCCGTGCTTTGGGGGGCCCACACGCTTCAGGGGGAAGCGGGATCCAGGGTGGCCTGGCATTGGCAGCAGCAAGCGACCCAGCCCCAGCCCGCTCAGCTCCACCCCACCCCACCGGCTCCCAGCATCGCTCAGGGGAGGCGGTGGAAGCCGGAGAGAGGCGGGGCGGGGGAGCGGGCTTGGGGGAGAGGCCAGGCCGCCCATAACCCCTCAGGCCACCCTGGACCCAGAGCTGTTCCGTCCATAGGGGGTCCTTCAGGGGACGCGGGGTCCAGGGTAGCCTGGGGGACTAACGGTGAGCCTGGCGCCGGTAGCAGCAAGCAACCCAGCCCCAGCCCACAGGCCCCCTGCTAGCCCTACAGGCCGCCCTGAAGCGTGTGGCCCCCCAGAGCACAGTAAGCCCAAACATTGTTGGAGCTGGGTCCATGTTCCTAAATATTGGTGGAGCACAGGCACCACGGGTCAATATAACTCACCACCTATGTGAGTGTATTGCTGAAGACATGCCAATCATCAATGGTGGATTTAGAGTTGGGGGGCCCTGTGCTCAGCTTCATTTTTGCCCCCCCACCCACGGGGGAGCATTCTCTCTTATCTCCCCCCCTCCTCAGGCTCAGAGCTGCGGATGCAGGGTCTGGGAGGAAGTTATGATGCAGGAGGGGGCTCAGGGTTGGGGGTGCAGGGTCTGGGTGGGAGACGGGGTGCGGGAGCGGGTTGGGGATGCAGGGTGTGGGAGGGGGCTCAGGGTTGGGGGTGCAGGGTCTGGGTGAGAGACGGGGTGTGGGAGCGGGCTGGGGATGCAGGGTGTGGGAGGGAGTTAGGGTGTGGGAGGGAGCTCAGGGTTGGGGGTGCAGGGTCTGGGTGGGAGTTATGATGCGGGAGGGGGCTCAGGGTTGGGGGTGCAGGGTCTGGGTGGGAGACTGGGTGCGGGAGCGGGCTGGGGATGCAGGGTCTGGGAGGGAGTCAGAGTGTGGGAGGGGGCTCAGGGTTGGGGTGCAGGGTTGGAGGGAGTTAGGGTTCAGGAACAGGCTGAGGATGGGGGGTCTGTCCAGGAGTTAGGGTGCGGGAAGGGGCTTGTGGCTGGGGTAGGGATGCGGAGCACTTACCTGGGGCAGCTCCCGTTTGGTGCGGGCAGTGCAGGTGCGGGGAGTTTAGGTGGCTCTGTGCGGCCCTGTGCTTGCCCCGCAGCCACCGCCCCCCGCAGCTTCCATTGGTCGTGATTTCAGAGCCGCCTCCCCGCCCACGCCAGGCAGGGCTGGAACGCAAGGGCTTTAGGGGCTGCAGCCCAGGGCTAAGGGGGCCCCGGAGCCCTGCCCCCTTTCTGAATCCAGCCCTATGAGCAGGGGTGGAGGACTCAGGAGGAGCAGGGGCAGCCACGCAGCCGGAGAGAAGCAGCAGTTTCCCCTTCAAAGAGCCGCTTCCCTCCGGCCAGCTGCGCGGCAGCCCTGCGTTCCTCCTGAGTCCTCCAGCCCATGTTCCCTTCCCAGCACCTCCCACCTGCTCCCCTGAGGCTGCGGATGAGCCTCCCTCCCTCCCCACAGCTTCTACCCCCGCAGCCCCGCTCCCATGGAGCAGCCCCTCCGCAGGGGGTGCACTGGTGCCGAACTGCCTGAGTGCCCAGCCCTGGAGCCCTCTGTTGTTGGGGGGGGCCCGTGCCAGGGCACTGGGTACTTCATGGTAAATCCGCCCCTGCCAATCATAGTATTTATAACTAACGTAGTTAAACATTTGGATACAAAGTCCACTCCCCTTTGTGCCAGGGTCATCCCCAGGTTTCACAAATAAAGTCTTAAAAGTCTGTTCTTTCAGAAAAATCAGATCCTAGGCTTCGGTCCAGCAAAGTGTGTAAACACATGAGTTGTCCCATGGACTTCAATGGCACTACATACATACTTAAGTGAGTCAGTGGATCAGGATCTTAAGCAGTAGTAGATATTGGTGAAAGTTGGTTTCCCACTCAGTCCCCCAAAAAACAGCCAAAACAAATATCCATGCCAGAAATGTAGGGAGGGAATGCTAAAGTGATAAGATACTTTGCACCTACAGGGCATTGGCAGACACATTTTCAGACAATTCTATATGGTAATCAATTGATAAGAAAACAGTGGGGTAAGCAGGACTGGTTGAAAAGTTTCCATCAACACTCCAATCAGGGAGAGAAACCTATACTGGAAAATGGGAGCAGGAGGCACCCAAACTGCAACTCCCAGGTAGCACTGCAGTGGCACTGCCAAATTAAACTATTTCAGTTTTTTGATTTTTCGCTGCACAGTTTATATTCTCCATGGATCCCATCCCTCATCCCCATTTTCTGACCAGTTGCAGAGCCAAGTTCATCCCTGTTGTAAATGCATTGGAGAAACTGTTCTGAATCCTGACTTCCTCAGATGCTCAATTCTGAATCAATAACTCAGCACCTGGATTTTTTTTTTCTGATTGGTTTAAATTTTTTGCAAGTGCAACAATTTAACTGGATAAAATCAGAAATAAAATCAGTATTATCTGTACACCTTTCATGAACATGGGAACAAAAATGAAATCCTCTGGTGACTACGTTTACAGTCAACCTTAATATTAGACCTACTGTGCACTTGTACATAGTGAAAAACTCAATTCATACTAGAAATTGGCCCAAACCAATATAACTCCCACACACCCCGACACCCACAATGACACATGTTCAAACTTTGGCCTCTCTGGATAACATGGAAGCTGAAATCCAAACCACGCCTGGTTTTGTTTTGCAAACCCAACATGTGACTGATAAGGTTACACAAAACCAAACCATGGGCTTCCCAGCCTCCCTAGAAAGAAGCAAAATGACAGCCTCAGAATGATGCAGTGCCTCATGACATGTAAACGCTGCTCACTTACAGTGACTTTTGGATTGGAGTGAAGTAGCTCTGTGAAAAAAAATGGGCCCTATTTTGTGAAGTGCTGAGTCTCATTGCCATTAGGACATCTCAGCAATGCACAGGATCGGTTCCTAGGAAAGCTTTCCAATGTGTTCTTCATCCAGTCCCTAGTGCACAAAATAAAACGTGGTGCGAACAAGTGCACTTTGAGTTCATTTGTTCTGATTGGTTCGGTTTCCGCTGTTCCCCAACAGATAATAAAGTGCACGCATGCACGCACCTTCGATACCGCTCCCGTAATTAATGAACTCTGTATACAGCTGAATGTTAATTGGCTTCAGGCTTGATTGAGGACCACTTTGTGAGTAAGAATCTGTGATTCCTCCACCCAGGCTCCTACAGCTGGTCACCAAGAGAAGGCTGCTGCTGCTTCCCTTACTAAATACAGCCCTGGCTTCTGGTGACTCTTCCAAGCTTTGAATTAATTCCCTAATTCTCTACCACTTTTGAGAAACTGGCTCAGCTGGGTCTAAGACTCTTCCCTCAGATGCGTTAGCTAATTAAATGTTTTAAGATGCAACGATCAAAGTTATATAGACAGAAGCAATTTTTATGAACTGGTAGCTTTAATTTAAACTCAATTCCAGCAGAGCATGCTGCAATGTTTCGGGCTATTAGCCAATCACTAATGTGAACTATAGAATGGTTAATAAAAATCCATTCAAATCCAAGACATTTTTTGATTTGCAGAATAGCTTAGTGCTCCCAATGCAGATCAAATAATAATAATAAAAAAAAAGACAATTCAAGTGTGATTGGATAATCTGATGGTTTTGCTCCCAGTTTATTTTTAATTTCTGGCAGGCGTGATGATGGAAATTAAAAAACTCTCTTGACGCTTGAGTGACTCAAATCTCAGACCAGAGGAGATGAAGTGACTGATGCAGCTCTGGGGCCTTTTACTCTCCCCCATCATTATGACGGTTAATAAGAAAAACCTGGGAGGTTGCCGAGCAGTGAAGGATGAGACCCCCACTTCATGTGCCACCCGAGATAGAGCAATAATTATCAGGACAGCTCAAGCTCATTTCTAGTGGAAAGGGAGTGGAATGCTGGTTAAAGGAAAAGCACTAGCTATTGTGCACCTTTGGAAAGGGACAGAAGTGGCTTAGTGATTTAAGCATCTGATTTAAAACACCTAGACTCCTTGAAGTGCTAGGCTCACATTCCAGCAGGGTTGGATCAAGCCTTTGTTGTTTCACGATCCAGTAAATAAATTGAGTTCTATTCCGTTTACTTTGCATGAGTCTTTCAGATAAGACCTTAAACCCTGTGCCCTGTCTGCTTTACATGGATATTAAAGATCCTAGGAGACTTTTCAATCCAAACCTCTCAATTTATCTTACTTCACATGGGAAGTGAGGGAGGAGGTAAACAGCTGGAGACGTGCACAGTCCTTAATAGGAAATGGCTTTTAAAGAAAAGCAGTTGGGTTGAGAGGTTCTGATCCTAATTCCTAGCTGAAAGATATTCACATAAAAAACCACCCACCCATAACTGGTACTAACTGGCACTCTCATCATCAACAGAGTGGCCAGGGGCTAAACGAACCATGGAGACAGAACGTATTAGATGGGGTTGCCTGGAGGCAGATGCTGGGGTGAGTACTCATCTACATAGATAGATAGATATTGGCAGAGGGATCCTTGCTCTGTCACCACCTGGACTGCATTTGTTTTGTGAACAAAAAAGACTTTGGTCTACGGATCTGTCAAATCCAGCATCTAATTCATTTTAAATAAAAAACAACCCTTGAGTGCAGGTGTTAAAATGCTCTATCAGCTGGAATCTGTGTCTGCCATGTTCCAGATAAATACTCTGAAAGGAGCAGGCCATGGTAGGAAGGCAGAACACGGCTCTAGTTTGCTGCATAGTCATCTGTTTTGCTAATGGTCCCATCGCTTGCCCTACTCAAGAAGATTGTGCTTTCAATGCATCACAGAGGCCACTGAGCATGACTTATGGGTTTGGTTGCTTGGGTGGGTTTTTCCCCTACCATACAACTGGAATGATGAAGGGTTGGGAGTTGTATGAAATGCAACCCCGTCACTTTCATACACTAGCAGGAATCAAAGTGTGCGTGGGAGGAAGGGGGGTTGGGGTGGCTGATCTCTAGGATGCTTACCTTTCCCAGTGCAGTGGAAATGTAGGGAGATGATTAAAATCAGGAGATGCTCTGCAGCCCCTCCTCTAAGTAGGATCTTTTCTTTGCTAATGCCTTCAGTGAGCAATGAGTGTCCGCACCGACAGATGTCGAACTCTGTTGTGTTTGAGGGATTAGAAAACAGAGGGGGAACAAAAAGAGCAGTGGCTCCCATAATAACTCATGTGCCTGGCAGACAGACAGGCCAAGCTAGACAGGCCAAGCTGGTAAGTGAATTTCATGATAATGGGGGTGGGTATTTAACATTTGCCTGTACTTGAACAGGAGGGCCTTTGTCGCTAATTACCGAGAGACGTTAGAGGAGTTGGGATGTATTTAAACCCTATTGTTTGCTGTTAAAACAGGAATTCTTCTTTTCCAGGCTAAGCAGTTAATACATTTTTAGCAACAGCAGAAGGGCACAGTGGATTAATCACTGTCCTTGAAAATAAAAAGTGATTAATTTTAATGCATGCAAATGGTAGGAGACAGACAGAAGCAAGTGGCCGCTGGCTCACACACCAGATCAAGGGTAAGAGCATTCATGCCAAGACTTTCCACGCTGACAAGCTATTCAGCATCAGCCCTGACTTGGATACACTAGGGAGAGTAAAGGCCAGGGAGCCTGCCAGGGCTTAGTGGTAGAAATCTCCATAATCCCAGATCTGCCTCACCATAGTCATTCACAGGAGATTCATGGGACACCGGCCATTCATGTTTTCCATGCCAAAGAGGATGTCAGTTTCTTCAGGCTGAAGAAGGGCATCATAATTGCAGCAGCATCTTTGACCATTTACATCATTTCTATCCTGTTGAGGCTTCTTTACAGTAACAGTAACCCTATACTGCCCTTGATTCCTTCTTGCAGCTATTGTGTATAAGTATCTACAGCTTTGTGTCCAGAATCACCGGCCCCTGGAGGCAGCTAGGTCCCCATTAGTCAATAACATAACACTAACAATGTCTATAGGCCTACTGGAAATGCCTAGAATCCTGCAACTGGTGTCTACCGGTTTTCATAGATTTAAAGGCCACAAGGGACCATTATAATCTTCCATTCTGATCGCCTGCATAGCATAGTCCAACAAGTTCTGCCCAGCGATTCTTGCATCAGACCCCTATGTAGTAAGATGAGGCCCTGAAACATAACCTCTTGTGTCAGAGGCCCAGTCTGAGGCCTGAAGCCTGAACCAAAGTACTTCCAGGCATTGCTAAGCAAAAGCTGGGCTGTGAGCCAGAGGCAGGCCCCACTCACAGAAGTTGGCAAGAAGAGGGCTGCTAGAAGCAGGTGCATCTTAAAGATA